ATATACACACACACACATATGTATGTAAAAGGTGTTTCATACTGAGTCCTGGAGGGGACATGGGAATTTTTATTTTTTTTTACTTTTGCGTTCCCTCGCAATACTGTACTGTATGTAGTGTTACCTCACAGACAACAAACGTTCCTCCCTCAAAGAAACTGGGCCAGATGAGATGATTTAACCTTTTTTGTTCTCACAGACAACAGCAACAATGGAACAGACACCCGTATTTGAGGTTCATGGAGTTCTGTTTTGAAATCAGACTTAAATATAAGGATATCCAGTGTGTGCTGCAGTGGTCAAATTAGTTTTATGTGGAATATTTCATGTTCATGCGCTGTGGATTCAGGGGTGGCTTCCTCGTTCGAACCGACGCAGGCACTTTTTATTTCGTTCAGCTGCTCTGTCTGTCCATGAGAGGAGCAATGGTTCTCTTAGGAACATTATAATATTTTAGATATATTTCCAGAGTATTTGTCAAAGCACCACCATGTATCATAAGTTTTATCAGTATATTTATATACATAGAGAATAACCTTCACATCAATGTGAAGAAGACAAAGGAGATGATTGTGGACTTCGGAAGGAACAAACACACCTACACCCCCTTGAACATTAGAGGACCTGTGGTGGAAGTGGTCTCCAGCTACAAGTACTTGGGTGTGCACCTGAATGACAACCTCAGCTGGGGCAACAACACCACCAGCCTGATCATCAGAGACTCTACTTCCTCAGGAGGCTGAGATGAGCTGGTCTGGGAAGCTCAGTCCTCACCTCCTTCTACAGGTGTGCAGTGGAGAGCATCCTGTGCTCCAGCTTCAACATGTGACATGGTGGCTGCACAGCTGCAGAAAGAAAAGCTTTGTAGAGAGTGGTGAAGGCTGCACAGAAGATGTTGGAGTCAGTCTCCCCACCATCACAGACATCTACACCTCCAGATGCAGGAAGAGGGCCACCTGCATCATGAAGGACCCCACTCACCCAGCACACACACTTTTTGCCCCGTTCCCCTCAGGAAGGAGGTTGAGGAGCATTAAGTGTAGAATCAGAATCAGAATAAGCTTTACTGTCATTGCACTGAGATACAACGAGAATATGTCCATACAGTCGTCCGAAAGATGGGCGGAGTGCACAAAGCTGCTGCTAATTAGCGCAGCCCTCTTATTCTTATTTAGAATAATATTTTTGCTTAGATGAGAAAGGGGAAGAAAATGAGAGAAAGTATAAAAAAAGATCTCTCAGAGCAAGTCCTAGACAGGGCACGGTTTGAGGCATCAAAAAAATCTACCACAGCAAAGCAACATAAATAGACGTGATACATATAGGCTGGTGAAGACATTGAATTTTTAAGGGAAGGTCGTAGCATAGTCCAGAGACCCCACTCTCAGCCATTGTCAAGATAAGAGGTGTTATTTATCATCAGCGCGGCTGAGGTTTCGTCACATGTCCATGGCCTTGGGGAAGGGAGGGGTGAGGAGACAGACAAAGTGTCATTGTGTTTCCTAAACATGCAGGAGGAGATGAGATAAGTCCACCATCAAGGCCACAGTTTGGGTCAGGCAGAACTCGTAAACTGCCAATTCTGCCTTTTAAAGTCTCGCTGGTACATTTCTCTGATGGTGACTCCAAACAGCCGAATTGATTCCTTACGCCAAAAATAAACAGACTTGAGAAAATTTTACCAAACTTTATACACATAATTATATCTAGACACAGTGCCATGTACACTTTTTGTCCCCCCCAGCTCCAATGTCACGGTCACAAATCAAGGTCGAATTTTAGGCAAGGTCTTTGCTTGTCGTGCCATAACATCCGCTCAAGATAATTTAACCTTATCAGTGTTTGTACACCATTAGACAACATGTCATATAATTTTTTATCACCTAAGCTCAAAGGTGAGAACACCTATCAAGGTCAAAAGTTATAAATACTACTTTGTATACCATTGCCATAGATTTCTGTATTGTTATGCAATACTTTGTTGATGGGCGTATAATACGTGGTACTCTTGTAAAGGTTATCATAATAATAATGTATAGACGTTTTGTCATCTTAGATTAATACAACAGTACAATAGAAAGTACAATAAAAAATATGTTTCTTAGAGTATTGGACAGTAGCAATGACACCTTTCAAATTTCTTCAGGAAAGTTTCATGTGATTGTGTAAAACAGTCACAAAACCTTTCAACACATGCAGATTTTTCTCCACCACTTCATTTCTCTGTGTGCTGTGCTCTGACGACAGACACAGTGATGCAAAAGGAGTCATTTATGAAGTCATTTGAAAATAAAACCCAGATTAGAACAATGTTCAAAGACGTTTTCTAAAAGGTGAAGTTAGACAAGCCTCAGCCTGAAGTTTACATTTCATCTACAAGCACATGCACTTTGATCTGCGTCAGTGCTGGGTGATGCCGTTTGTCTGACCTCTGTAAGAACTTCAACTAGTTAACAGGATAATCCAGTCTAATTTGACGTGCTGTTACTGTATGTCTAACAGTTAGCAATAGTTAGTCCCTCATCACCGTTATGAGTCGTAGAATACCAAGTATAGAGAAACAGGCTGTCATATTCGGCCGTCAGGAGTGTTTGAACCCATGTGCAGGAGGATGACGAGGACGCTCGAGGAATAAATAAAATATATTTATTAAACAAAACAAAATCAAAATGCTGACAGGGCAGCTACTCACAAAACTGGAAACAGGCAGATCAGGGCTGACAGGACAAAAGACTGAACACGACACCATGGAAGGATAATCCCGAGACAAAGACAAGACACCAGTGAACTGAATATACACACACTGATTAGGAAAATGACAGACACCTGCAGTGATTAACATTAGACACAGGTGAGACACAAGGGAAAACACTGAGTGCTGGAAACATGAGGAAACAGACAGTACCAAAACCCCACAGTACCCCCCACTCAAGGGATGGCTCCAGACATCCTAAGGACAAGCTACATCCAACTTGGGTGGGAGGTGGGACAAACCAAAACAAAGAAACACATGGGACCAGAAGAACAAAAAACCGACAGGAAAACCTGGGTAGCTAAACACAAAACAGGAACCCCAACCACAGTCAAGGTGGACGGTCAGGAGACCATCCACTGGCTCAGAGCAGGTCAGGGGGGCGGCCGAGAGGCCGTCCGACGGGCCAGAGCAGGTCAGGGGGGTGGCCGGGAGGCCGTCCAGTACAGGACCAACGTTCAGGTGGGCGGCATGAGGGGCGTCCTCCAGGACCCCTGCGAGACAGGAGACGCGAGGGGCGTCCTCCAGGACCCCCTTGAGACAGGAGACGTGAGGCGAAGGTCGCAGGCTGGCCGGGATCTTCTGCGGTTGGGCCAGGGACAAAGACCTCCGCAGATGGGCCAGGAGTGAGGGTTTCAGATGGGCCAGGATCTTCTGTGGTCGGGCCAGGGATGAAGACCTCAGCCGAAGAAGAGTCGGGAGCGTGGACCTCAGGTGAGCCAGGAGCAAGGACCTCAGCCGAAGGGCCAGAAGCAAGGACCTCGAGAGATGAGCCGGGAACCAGATCTGGAGCAGGTGCTGGAGTCAGGACTGCAGCAGGAGAGTCGGGTACCAGGACTACAGCTGGAGAACCAGGAACGGGGACCAGAGAAGGGGCTACAGCTGGAGAACCAGGAACAGGGACCAGAGAAGGGGCTGCAGCTGGAGAACCAGGAACGGGGACCAGAGAAGGGGCTGCAGCTGGAGAACCAGGAACGGGGACCAGAGAAGGGGCTGCAGCTGGAGAACCAGGAACCAGAGTCGGGGCTGCACCAGGAGAACCAGGAACCAGAGACGGGACTGCAGCAGGAGAACCAGGAACCAGAGACGGGACTGCAGCAGGAGAACCAGGAACCAGAGACGGGACTGCAGCAGCGTGACAAGCAGATGAGGAGGAGTGAGACAGAGAGGCTGAGGACCCAGGTTTAATGGACAGGCAGGTCCCACAAAACGGATTCTTTTTTCTCTCCTCCTTTTCTCTGTCTCGTTGGGCGGTTTTATCCGCCTCACGGGCCAAAAACTCGAACAAGGTTATCAACCTCCCGCTGGGTTCAGTATGGTCTCGGGATTCTGTCATATTCGGCCGTCAGGAGTGTTTGAACCCACGTGCAGGAGGATGACGAGGACGCTCGAGGAATAAATAAAATATATTTATTAAACAAAACAAAATCAAAATGCTGACAGGGCAGCTACTCACAAAACTGGAAACAGGCAGATCAGGGCTGACAGGACAAAAGACTGAACACGACACCATGGAAGGATAATCCCGAGACAAAGACAAGACACCAGTGAACTGAATATACACACACTGATTAGGACAATGACAGACACCTGCAGTGATTAACATTAGACACAGGTGAGACACAAGGAAAACACTGAGTGCTGGAAACATGAGGAAACAGACAGAACCAAAACCCTACACAGGCAAAAGTACTTGTCCAGGCTATGCTAATTTCTAGCTAAGGAGAAGTTTTTTTTAAGGCTTATTAATAACTTTCTCAAACTCAACAAACTGAAATTAAAGTATAAAACATAAACTAATATTAAGCCTTTCTCTTTTACACAACTGTTTTCATTGTCACTGTTTGCTCGACCAAACAACCAGGCTCGGCTAATCTAGGGCAGGTCAGGCACAGTCTACCTAAAAAGTATTTTACTAACAGACAAACATCTGCACATATGGCCTTTTCACCTTCAAAGGCAGGCAATAATGACATAATATGATATGATATTATTATTGTCAGGATCTATGCCTTTCAGAGTCAGGTTTTCAATTTTTTGATGCAGTTCTCTTGATCGTTCTTTATGATTTTTAATAAAGCACCAAAATTTGAACTAGTGTGATGAAACGTGAAACTAGTGCCAGGTCAACGCTGTAAATAAGAAACAGTTCTTAATGTCCAAACTGGTAAAATAAAGGTAAAAAAAAAAAAGAAAGAAGTCACAAGCTTGTTGGTAAAAACTAAACTAAATGTCAAATAAATCCACAAATGGCTTGCCATACCTCACAGTAAATCCCTACACTATTTTTGACACCTCATTAATTTGACTATAAGCAAAAAACTTTTTTGTTTTAAACTGTTGTGTGCCTCGAAGCTGGACCATGCCCTAAGTTTAGGCATTCATTCCAGATATGTGAGAATATTTTCTTTTTTCATGTGTTTTTTTTTAATAATCTTGTATTCTTACAGCTTGTAAATCCACATAGTCAGCTTGGGAGAGAAATTACAAAGTAGTTTGCTGCAAGTCAGTGGAGCTGATTAAGAGAAGTGACTGCTGACTCAAACCTTTTTCCTCTGCACATGTACAGCATCACTGGAGCAACGAGCTCAGGAGGAGTTGGAATAATCATTGGGTACACAAGGGTTTTTTGGGAAAAGGCAAATTTTACAATACTAATAGTTTCTAAAACAGTATACTTAGTCTGGTACACACTGACGGAAAGCATTGTACATTTGATTAAATGTAGGTTTCCCTTCACTAAGTCTCTCTTTGCTTCTGCAGGTTTTTATTCTGTACTTCAAACCGAGCACCTTCAGGTGCATTTTGCTCCGATGGGTTCGACTGCTTGGTTTCTTCATTGTCTACGGCACAATCACACTGAAGATGTACAGGTACCACCAATTTTACTTCAGAACTAACTCGCACAAAGACATGGCAATTATTTTTTTACACTGGATGTCCTTCCTGACACAACCACAGACCACCGAGCTACCAGAGCCCTCTGTGTGGAGCAGAGAGCTGCCATGTAGGGAGCCCAGGGGAGCAGATGGTGGGGGTTAAGGGCATTGCTCAAGGGCCCAGAGTGGGGCAAATGAGGGTGGAGACAGGTGTGGCTGCTTCACATACCCCACCCACATTTTGACGTTGTCATTGTCATTGTCTTTTCATTTTATATGCTTTTTTTTATGATTGCCTATTGTTGTCTGTACCTCATCTGTGTTCTTTGTTTAAATGAGTCCTTGAGGCTCAATGAGACTAACCTGTAAAAATAAAGCTCAAATGAATGAATGAATGAATGAATGAATGAATGAATGAATGAATGGCTCCTCAGTTGTAGATGCACATCAGCAATTTTCCCCTGAAAGTTTAGTTAAAATATGTTCACTGGTTTGAGATACATTGCTAAAAAGCAGTTACTGTAAATTTAAGGCAAAATGATAAATGAAGATCTTGCACCGTTTGTTACTTTCATTTAGTCAAAAAACAACGTGTGGCAAAATAAAATAAAAAGACATAAAAATACATATAATTATTACTCAAGTTAAAAATGCATATACAGTAGGATACAGTGTGAATATAGTAAATCAAGAAATAAAATAAATTGCAGCCTCTTGACAGGAAGTTCTAAATGGGGCTTACAAAAATGGGAGTAAAACACCAACATGATGGTTAATCTTTACCCAAACGACATACGGCAATGTCTCTGCCTTCCCTTTACAGGGTGCTGAAGGTGTTCCTCTCACGCACAGCCCAGAGGATGCCCTACATGTCCAGCCTCCACCTGCTCAGGATACTGGGGGTGATGCTGATGACAGTCAGCTGGTTCCTGTGTGCGTGGACAGTCGGCGTCCTTCAGAACCGCGACAGGAACATTCCAGTTTTTGTCACAGCCACAACATCGGATGGACAGAGCTTCAACCTGTGTTACCTAGACCGCTGGGACTACATGATGGCTGTGGGTGAGCAACAGCAGGCGAAACAGCAGCTGATGAAAAGTTACCATAGTATTTTATCCAGCAAACCAACTAGAGTTAAATAGTCGTGATGGTAAAAAATTACAACAGCATACTTCAGTTTAAGCTGAATCTTTAGGCAGTTTGTAACTTGCATTTTGTCACAAATAATTTTGAGGGGGGTTCTATAAAAAATAGCACTGCTTGTTGGTATAAAATATGTATGCGCCATCTAAACGTCAATTTGTCAATTGACATATCTGGGCATGGTGTGTAGTAATAGGCCTTTAAAAATGAGGAAACAAACAAAAGTGGTAAACCTAAAAGAAAAGGAAAAAACATATTATAGAGCAAATGAAATGTGTTTGAAAGACATGAGCAAATAAGTCCAGCAAAAGCACACCTGGAAAGGGTTTTTCTAGTAAATCTTTATTTTTTCAGCATGATAATGATGCCAGCACAGTAATAATAATAATAATAATACTTTATTTATAAAGCCCTTTAAAACAACCACAGCTGCCACAAAGTGCTGTACATATAAAATCAAGAACATTTAAACACATAAAAACAGTTGTTAAAACATTAAGATCAATAAAAGTAATAAACACAGTGCAGATCAAATTCAGTGTGTGTTAAAAGCCAGGGAGTAAAAATGTGTTTTTAAAAGAGTTTTAAAACTGGACAGTGAAGGGGCTTGTCTGATGGGAAGAGGGAGATCGTTCCACAGTCTTGGAGCAGCAACAGAAAAAGCTCTGTCCCCTCTGAGCCTCCGCTTAGACCTCGGCACCTCCAGGAGCAGCTGATCAGTAAACACATGCCTGAACAAAACACTGCGCCATCATAACTCAGTGTTTCTGAAGTCTAATCGTTTGAAGGGAGAATTGACTAAAAGCAACCAACAACTACTAAAGATCGAAAATTAGGATAGTAATTAAGGGAAACAGTCTAACAACAGTCTGGTTGGGATGGGACCAATGTGTCTGTGTATGGTTTGGATGAAGCTGTTATTTTAGATATTTCAAAAGGACAAGTCCAAACACAAATCAGGTTCTACTGACACTTCTAAAGCTTTCATTTAATAAATAAAAATCAGAGGCAGAGAATAGTGTGAATTTTGTCCCTAATTGAAATAATGATCCATTGTTAGGCTGATGGTCCTTCTTGAGCATGTGATCAGCTGGTTTTGGTTGTCAGCAGCAAACTGGTTGATCCACTCTGAGAAGGTGCTATTTAAGAGACTGAGCTGAATACAGCACCTCAGACTGAGGAAGTCTCTTGGATGAGAGACGAAACGTTTCTAGATTTTTTGTTGATTTGCTTTGTTTTGGTTTTTTTTTGAATGTCCAGAGGACCAGATTGAACTTTTTTGGATTTTTTTACCTGGATTATTGAGCATGCATCAGGATATTTCTAGATGCCTGTTTTAAAGTGCGTAACCCAGAATTGAACCAAGGAGCCACTCTCCTCTGATTGATTACTTTCCTTTTCAGCGGAGCAGCTTTATTAAGTGAAGTTTGCAAAAAAGTTGTAAATTTAGGGTCTGATGTATTAGAGAGTCAGAGTTTCTTTATCTGTGGTACATGTGGTGGATCGAGATTATGTACTCAGGGTCCCAGTTACATCCAACAACAAAATGTAAGAGAAAAACAATAATAAGATCTAAGATATGAACTAAGAAAAACATCAACTAAAAATACGCTACGCACCAATAGAAAAACAATAAACACAATACGCCGAACAGCAGCACGAACATGAGTCTGTGTGAGCAGATGAGCACGAATGAACACAGCAACATGGAACAGATCAGCAGCAACATGAAACAGATCAGCAGCGGCATGATGTGATTCTTCACAGTGATTATTCTGGTTAGAGATACATGAGTCTAACAGCCTCAGGGTATAAGCTGTTCCTCAGTCTAGTGGTTAAATGGACTGTACTTATACAGCGACTTTCTATCTTAGCGAGATACTCAAAGCGCTTTTCACTACAATCTGTGCCCTCATTTACCCATTCATACAGCATTCTACTAGATCTCTACAAAGCTAATTGAACAAATCAAAGAGACTAGTGGTTCTACACTTAATGCTCCTTAACCTACTTCTTGAGGGCAGTGAGGCGAAAAGTGTGTGTGCTGGGTGAGTGGGGTCCTTCACGATGCACGTGGCCCTCTTCCTGCATCTGGTGGTGTAGATGTCTGTGATGGTGGGGAGACTGACTTCAACAGACTTCTGTGCAGCCTTCACCACTCTCTGCAAAGCTTTTTTTATGAAGATTTTGATGCTTTTGATTAAGCTTTTTTTAAATTATTATTACTCTGCAAGACAGAGGAAAACCATGGAAGAGAGTCTTTAAATTTGGTTACAGTGTTTTCCGATAAACATCTGCCAAGATGATATTTACTCTCAGTGATTGTATAGTCATTTAATGTAAACTCAAAGTTATTAAAAATGATCAGACAGGACAGGATTTTGAGAATGTATTACTAAGTCATTTATCTCAATGCTATAAGTCAGAACCAGCTCAAGAGTGTGATGATGAGAGTGAGTAAATGTTTGGACGTTTTGGGTAAAACCAATTAACACAGTATGAACAACATTCGGGAATTGTTTCTATAAGAACATTATCAAATATTTTATGTGAACTGTATAATCGTGAGGAAATGTAACCCAGGGTGAGCTAGCCTCAGACAAGCAAACAAACTGTAATGGTGGAGGTCGTGAAGCTCACGGCGTTACACGAGGTATTTAGTGAGGCATTTTGCCTTATCACCCAAGATTAAGGCAAAGACAGGAGAAAAAACATTTCTAAGCTACTAATAACTTAAAATAGTTACTGCACACCAAGACCCCATTTAGAAGCACAGGATACTCACAAGTGTATTAGTGTTGGAAGTGACTCCAGGCTGTATTTGAAATGCTATAGTTAGCTGCAGATGCTGCTGTTAGCACTTCCAATCAACCCCAGAATCTCATGTAAATGATTGTGAAATGAAAATGTAAAAATAGATAGAAGTAAAGGTTTGTGATGACTCAAACCATAATGGGATTTTTTAAATGAAAGATGGCATAAATCCACTTTGGTCTTGGTTTTGATCCAAGTAGCTGGTACTGGTAGCTCATCCAGCCTTTCAGATGTAAATATATTTCTCCTAAATGGACATTCAGCGTTCTTTCTACAACAGGGATGGTTTTAATTATTTAGAACTTCACACAAATGTCTTCAATTTGTCTAAAATATTCCTCTAAGTACAGAAAAAGTGTGCATCATAAAACAAAATTTTAGTTTTTGTTTCTTGGTCCTAAAGGCTGTACTTCATCTTGAATGGTGGCGTGTCATTTTTTACACAGTGAACTAACAAATGTGATTTTTCTCTGAATTTGTGTCATCACCTCTCATCCCTCCATTGCTTCTTTCTGCCTCAGCTGAGCTCCTGTTCCTGTGCTGGGGCAGCTCCCTGTGGACGGCTGTCAGGCCCGTCCCCTCAGCCTTCCACGAACCTCGCTACATGGGCATTGCCATCCACAATGAGCTGGTCCTCTCCTCCATGTTTCATTTATTCCGGTAACAAAAATCTTTGCAACCAATTTTTGCCTGAGCAACACCTTCAGCTGTATTATATAACTGAAACACAAAGAGCACACACTTACTGTACGGGGTATTTTTATGCTGTCTACCTCCAGGTTCACCTTTCAGTCTCTCCATCCTGACTGGATGCTGCTGCTCTCCTTTACACACACCCATGTAACCATCACCATGACACTGGTCCTGCTCTTTGTTCCAAAGGTATTCAGCTTTTGTCTCATGTATTCAAAGTAAACACATTTTATGACTAAATAAAATTGCTTTTATTAGTCAATTTTGTGTTGGCAAATACAGATTAGTCGTGGCAACCATCTTGAAAAGAGATGACTTCAAACTAATCAGTTGTAGATTTACATCTAATCAGTGATGGCATTGTTACATTGAAAAAGTAACTTAGTTAAGTTACTGATTACTTGATTTGGAAAGTAACTCAGTTAGATTACAAGTTACTTTATTAGTTACTTTCAGCAGCTGCTGACAACAACCCTCCACCACCTCAACATAAAATTACTTACTTTATTGAAAGTACATTTTAATGGGAACATCAACAATTTATCTCCTGACATATAAAGTTGAACTTAAAAACTATTTCAGGAAAAAAAAATGCATATAAAAAAAAAACGGTCTTTCTTGACTTCATTAAACATAAATACTTTTTATAAAACTAAAGTAGTATTTCTTGACTTCAGTATCATAAAGAAATACTTGCTTTATATAAAACAGTGTCTTTCTTGACTTCACTAAAGAAATACTACTTTTACAAATAAAAAGTCTTTCTTCACTTTGTTAAACATAAATACTTTTTTAAATAAAACATATAAAAAATACAGTCTTTCAAAGTCAAAATCAAAGTTCTTTTAGTCGCCTGCTCCTACCTGCGTCTCTTAGCCATCGGAGTTTGAGTTTAGGACAACTGACCGCTGCGAGAATCTTTGTCGTCCAGCACATCGGCAGAACGAGTCTGGATACAGCCTGAAAAATATAATTGATATGTCTGCAAGGCCTACTATTTATTATGTAATTAAATCGCAAACCATGCCTAATATGGGATCAATATTGTGGATTTAATTTTGTTTTAGGATTCTTATTGACATTTGTATTTGTTTTAATCTTTTTTTGCGATAATAATGAATATACTGTACAATGTACAAAAATAGTGTGATGTAAGAAACTTTAACTAGCTTACAGATGGAGCATACCTTCACTATAGCATGTGGGCGGTCTGCAGTCATCCTGGAGAGAGAATCTTTCTCAGCCAGGGTCTTCTGCATCAGAACTTCAAGTGTGGAGAGGAAAGTCCCATAAGGACAGTCACCTTGTTCCTCCCATACAGCTTCTGTTACTGGTATTAGCAGTCCAGATATCCGTGGTAGGTGACACAGAGTCGACATCATTCAGTGCAGCCTTCAGATTTCTCTCCATCTCTGCATACTCCTTCTCCAGATACACAGAAAAAGCTCCTCTTTGAGGCAAATCAGCATTTACAGCGGTGGGGATTCGGTTTATTATGGCACGAAACGAAGACGAGTCAACCATGTTGAAGGGCAGAATTTCTTCTACTACAAACCATCCGACCAACTTTTTAAACTCTGCCCCACCTCCTGGTTTTGCACTGAAGGCAAGCTTTTGTTGTTTGGTGGTGGGGGACCTCCTGTCGCAGCTCTCTGCTTCAAACCACCTGGCACCTTGCTCCATCAGTTTGACTGTCCATGCTGCGACTCCAAATGTTTCTTCAGATTTGATGTGGTGTTTTTTAGCACTTTCTCACCAGCACAGAGGGTTCAACGAACCTTGATATTGTCATCTTTTGCTGACAGAAACTCAAAATAGTTCCTATATTTCCATCTACAAAATGCATATCTTCCTCCTTGCTCCATTGTTTGCGTTTCTGTCGCGGCGTGGTGTCAGGTATCACAGGCGATGATAACGTGACTGAATTGTTTCATAGACCAGACGTCAGTCCCCGAGACGCATAGAGGAAATAAAATTAAATGACAGTACAAAAGAAAATGACAAAAATAGTAGCGCACAGTAATTTGGATAAGTAACTTTAATCTGATTACTACATTTTGAAATAGCAACACGTTAGATTACTATATTTACTTTGTAACGTGTTACTGTCACTGCATCTAATGATTAATTTCTGAGTGTTTCATTCAAATCAATGCAGTGTTTCAAAAGATATTTTATTAACAGACTAATAGGGATGACATCAAAGACATACAAATGTTTTTGGCAAAAAATCTTGCACAGTGTGTAGTGCTTGGGTTATGTGTTGGAGACGTTCTTCAGCTACAACCACAAGTTTTAGCTCAATATCTGGAAAATTGTCTGCGATATGGCCAACTTTTGCTTGCTAAAGTTTAGTTGTGGTTACCATAGTCCATAGATATCCAATAATCACTAGATACAGCATTGACCGCTATCGCCTATTGGCACTGACGAGCTGTAGGGCCGCCATCTTGGAACGGTCGACCGCTCCACTCAGTGTAACCTGTTTGTCAGGAGCAATGAAGTATTTGCGTGTTTAATCAGTCAGAGCTGAATACTAAACTCATTCTCACGATTTTTTTCCTCTGTAAATCTTAGACGTACAGCCATTAAAGATGAACACATGGTTCAGTGTATTTAAATATTCTTGGTGGGGTTAACATTAACACTAATAAAATATTCTTATGGCAGCACGGTGGCGCAACTGGTAGAGCTGCTGCCTCTCAGCGAGCAGGTCCCTGGTTCAAACCCCGGTCCAGGGGCCTTTCTGGGTGGAGTTTGCATGTTCTCTCCGTGCATGCGTGGGTTTTCTCCGGGTGCTCCGGTTTCCTCCCACAGACCAAAAACATGCATGTTAGGCTGATTGGTAACTCTAAATTGTCCCTAGGTGTGAGTGAGAGAGTGAATGTTTGTTTGTCTCGTTTGTCTCTATGTGGCCCTGTGATGGACTTGCGACCCGTCCAGGGTGTACCCCGCCCCTCGCACAGTGATTGCTGGACATGGGCACCAGCGACCCCCGTGACCCAAAATGGAATAAACGGGTAAAGATAATGGATGGATGGATGGAT